ACCCTCAACAGTCTGCAGAATCCCCTCACTGATTACACTGTAAATGATAATCTACCTTAACCAAAATCAAAGTAGACTATCACTCACCCACACCAGATGGAAAACTCTACAGACTGTCGGTTCACACCCCATCACAATATATCGTCAAATAGAACTGCCCGGTAAACCGTAGGCAGAGAGGGAGAAGAGGACAACAAACGAGGGGCTGTATATATATATATAATATACATCGTCAAACAGATACATAAATAATCAGGCTCCTGATGAATTGGTGAAACTCTGATGAAACAGTCGGTCACAGCTCCTCGTTTGTTGTGCTCTTCTCCCCCTCTTCTTACGGTTTACCGGGCAATTCCGTTTGATGATATATACATACTCAAGCAGTAGGCAGAGAGGGAGAAGAGGACAGCAAACGAGAGGCTGTGACAAACTGTTTCGTCGGAGGTTCACCGACTCATCAGATACACACGCACACACACACACACACACACACACACACACACACAGAGAGAGAGAGAGAGAGAGAGAGAGAGAGAGAGAGAGAGAGAGAGAGATTGAAAAAAGAGTCGGGAGATCTGTGCAAAGCAAAGGAGAAGAGGGCACTACGCTGGCGTTCATGTACATAATGCCACGACTACACAGTGCTTTGCGAAACAAACAACAAAAGCAGCAGACGTCATGGGGCACACTTAAAACTTTTCGTTTTCCCCTTTTCCTGTGCAATCTCTCTCTTTTTTCACTTTCTTTTGGCTTTTCTTTTGACTTTTCGTTCACTGTGCCTCTCATCACATACAAGGCTTTCCACGTTGACGTAGTCGAGTGCAGGCTGTCCGGATCCCAGTGTGTCTTAAATTCTCGTAATAATAATGGCACACTCGCACGTGTGAAAAAGAGGCAGAGCGGAGGGAGAGGAAATAATGAGAGCGGAAAGATGAAAAGAAGGACAATGGACATGGCAAAAAAAAAAAAAAAACAGAAAAAAAAAAGAGGAGGACAATGCAAAGGAAGACAAAGGGAAAGTGGATAAAAGGGGAGTGCGGAGTAACGACGAGAGTGTAAGGAAAGAGACGAGAAGGCGCAGGGAACAAACTTGACGAGAGAGAGGACAGGAACAAGATGGGTAGAGGTCGGCGACGACATGGCGATGACATGGAAGACAGATCTGAGAACTCCCAAGGCATACTCACACTAGGCCATTTAGAGACTCAACTCTGGACGTGATTGCGGTCAGATGCATCTAGGTAAGTGCACAATTGGCGTCAGATCAGATACTTCAGGAAAAGTGCTCGTACGAGTATGCCCTCAGAAGAACAGTTGACATACATTTCCTTGGACAGTATTTTTAACTATTTTCCTCCACACACCTTGTCACGTTCAGGCATTCACTTCTCAGGTGCAGTTTCCCATGTATTCTCAAGCTAATGCCCCAACAGATACCTACCAATCTTGCTAACGCCCTGACATAGGAAGCCGCACAATATTCTGGAACAAGGTCCACCTACCAAGTACTGTAATGAGCTTATGACGTGCACACGAGCACACACACACACACACACACACACACAGAGAGAGAGAGAGAGAGAGAGAGAGAGAGAGAGAGAGAGAGAGAGAAATGCACAGAGACAAACACACACACACACACACACACACACACACACACACACACACACACACACCCCTACGGTTTTTACTTCCCCACGCACAGTAGAACCCCTTGATGAAGGCGTGGTAATGATGTCTACCTGAAAGTGACAATGGTTGTGACATGTGGAAAGAGTTACACCCTCCATGGAAAAATGAAGATGCCTGGGTAATTTGGGAAAATGGGGAGCGGGAGCGCTGTGAAAAATGTGTTTCCAAAAAGGGGAGAAAAGTTCAAGAAAACGGTACTTGCTAAAATATGGCCCAAATGGGACTTGGAACGGGGAGAAGCGTGGTAAGTACCGTCTTCCCCTGAACATAGCACACCCAGAAAATGAACGTATACAAGGTATGTTTCCGACCCGATACAGTCAAAATGAGGGTGCGTTGCGTTCGGGGGAAGACGGTAGACTATTTATCAGGGGTCGTCCTAAGATTTATCGCTCGAGTATCTGTTTGACGATATATATCGTCAAATAGAACTGCCCGGTAAACCGTAGGCAGAGAGGGAGAAGAGAATATATATATATTGTTGTCTTCTTCTCTCTCTCCGCCTACGGTTTACCGCGCAGTTCTGTTTGAGGTGAACGAAAAGACAAAAGACATTTTTTTTTGTGGATGAATTTTGAGGTGAACGAAAAGACAAAAGACATTTTTTTTCAAGTGCATATATGTATATCGTCAAATAGAACTGCCCGGTAATCCGTAGGCAGAGAGGGAGAAGAGGACAACAAACGAGGGGCTGTGACAAACTGTTTCGTCGGAGTTTCACCGACTCATCAGGAGGAATTACACATTATAGCAGTGAACACGCACATGACATATATTTACTAGGGGATCTTTGAAGCATAGTACATCGATCCCCTAGATGTGCATAATTACAATATGATGTCTTTTTTTTTTTTTTTTTTTTTTTTTTTTTTTTTTTTTCGGGGAGGGGGGTCATAATTTAAAGTTTAAGAATAAAATTAAAATTTTCTTCAAAGTTCCCGTCTGCAAACAGAGTACACAGAACTCTGAAGCGTAATGCATCTAGGGGATCGATGTCATGTGCGTCTTCACTGTTATAATAGATACTACACGTATTATGTATCTGTTTGACGATGTATATTATTATATATTATGGGAACTTTGAAGCGTAGGACATCTACGGGATCGATGTCATGTGCGTCTTCACTGCTCGAGTGACTTGAAAGTGGGTTTCATGAACTCTTGGCGTCTCGCCATTCAAACGGACCTCAACCAACATAGTATGTTTACGTGTGCTTGCATCAATGACACTATCATTCCCCTGACCTCTGGGAACCCATTGAACACCCTACCCTGTCTGCGTGCAATCAGCGTCCCGTGACCTTACACATGTTCGAGTTTCGTATGGAGTTGAAAAATGGGGTAAATAATACAGAAAATGGAAATGCATGTCGGTGGCACACGCACACACACAGAAATGGAAATGCATGTCGGTGGCACACGCACACACACAGAAATGGAAATGCATGTCGGTGGCACACGCACACACGCATGGCTCGCAGAACACATTACATGCAGTTATTGGTATTGCCGTCTTCCTGGAGTGCGAATTTATACAAAAATCAAGTGACAGCATAGAGCCCATATCTCCCCGCACCGCATGCCTTACACACCAAGTACCAGACACACTGAACAAAAGCCAAACTCCCATCCAGGATGCTAATTACAGCTGTGTTATCATTTTTCACTTCTACGAACATACTGCAAAAGTGTGCATACAAAAATTACCCCACTCAGCAGCCAACGGTGAAGCAAACGACCATCCCGTTCCATTCCCAAAATCGTTACCTCAGTAACTTACTTTGTATCAAATTTACTTTATATCAAATTGTTACCTCAGTAACTTACTTTATACTTTATATCAAATTGTTACCTCAGTAACTTACTTTATATCAAATTGTTACCTCAGTAACTTACTTTATATCAAGTTGTTTGCCTGCATCACTGGCCTGGAGAACTTTGCCAGCCAAACATTAATCGTCCGTTGCCAGTGTGATCATCGAACCTGCCCTTCTTCTTGTACGGCCCCAAGTCAGATTCTGCACGTCAACATCCATATTCAATACATACCTCCCATATACGCACAACATAGCGAAACGCACACCGTGCCAAAGCCCAAGGATCATGTTAGGTTATCTAAAGCTCGCAGGTCACTCAAATGGGACATAACCAATCAGAGACGAGAGGTCGTACCCCGGTTCTGGAAGACCAAGGGGCCTGGGTTAGGTGTGAAGTAGAGTCAACACAGCAGATTGACAAAATAAGGGTTTTTTTTTGTGGGGGGGGTGGGGTTGGGGGGTATGCCATCCTGGTCTTCCAAGCAGCTGCTCTGCTGGCCAAAGAAAACCCCGATCCTGATCGCGTTGTATAAGCAAGTTCACTCGGTCCTCGTCTAGACGAAGTAGGATGGCGAGACTGTCAAATTCCCGAGCACCTGGAAGAACACAAGGACAACCAATACAGCTTATAGTCATCAGGCGACAATTCTGTTGGCAACAAAGCATGCACATTGTACAGGAACAGAGCCAGGTGCATGTGTGTCAATCATTGGCATGCAGACATGAACATAGTCAGGTCCATGCATATAAATTATTGGCATGCAGGATGGAAGGGTGGCATAGAAGAGTCTTTTGAAACCCGGATCCATCGGATCTGAAGAAGTCTTCCATAATGGTCGCCGGTTGCTTGTTTCTGTCGTTGGAAGAGTGGAAGCTCTTACGATCGCCTCACCTCTGAGCCTTCAACGGGGAGTTCAGAGAGAGAGAGAGAGAGAGAGAGAGAGAGAGAGAGAGAGAGAGAGAGAGAGAGAGAGAGAGAGCACATTCGTGATTGGCTGCTACACACAATGCCGTCAACCAGACAATTAGTTAAAATTTGGGGTAGTTCTCTAGTTGCACGCAATTGCGATGGGCCGAAAACAACAACCACTGAACGCTCTTCACTTGCGGTGACAGAGTTCACCCTTCAGCCACCTGCTCTTTGCTTGCAGTGATTACAAATGTTGATGCTCTCGGCACCGCCTCAATGCATGCCCACCAAGGAAGGGATGGTATATGGTATGGCCATTTGCATAACAGGGCGTAACGCCGGATCTATGCGCATTCAATCTGCCGACCACCCACCACCCGAGCCCTGGGTAGACGACACTGGCAACGAACAGCAAGCGACAATGAGGTTATCGAACTCGATGGCATAGTCCACTGTGTCATCGAGTTCGATAACCGCACTAGGTTTGAGCATTTTTAAACTTCACTAAACTAGAAAAGTCGACGAGCGCTTCAACTTCTCTTCCGTTCGTTAGGTTAAGTGTGCCTGAACACTGTCATTACTACATCATATATCTTTTGCAATGCCGATGGATCGACGAACGTTGAGAAGACCCAGTTTTTCGAGTACACCTACGATCGACGAACTACCTATCTTTTGCACTGCTCATAGATCGATGCGTAATGTCGCACTCACACACCACGAGCGATATGCGATATAGATGGATGTTAAACATGCATCTACAATGATTCTATATGGATGATAAACATGCACGCCCTAAGGAAGGGGATGGATGGCAACCAAGGAAGATAGGCGATGGATGATAAACATGCACGCCCCAGTGTTTCGAGTACATCACGTCATCACGCTCGTTCTCCCGAATGCTATGCATACACAATAATACACCATGTCATCCTCCTCTTTCGCCCGAATGATGTACATACATACCTCCAATTGTTCCTCGCTGAAGCTTTTCCCATGGACCATCCACGTGTCGGCATGGGTGCGTTTGAACTCTCCAAATGTCCGCATTACTGTGTTGCCAATCGGTCCCTTCTCATGAGATGATCGTGCTAGGACCATCAGAACCTCTGGCAGCCACCTGATCGCGTCGGATAACACACAATTTCAACGGTGAGCACAGTTGCATTTTTTTTTTTTTTTTTTTATACTAACAAGCACAGACGCAACCAGTGTTGCAATAGCAACAAATAAGACAATGACAGGAACATAAGTTAAAATTGGATACAGTGAACTGTACAAGGATCACACACACACACACACACACACACACACACACACACACACACACACCAAACAAAAAGAAAACAAAAGAAAAGAAAAAAACAATGCCAGGAATAACAAAACAGCAGTAGTGGTAGGAAGGTAGTGAAAGGCGAAAAGAATTTGAGAGAAGAACATAGTGTAATTAAACAAAACAAAACAAAACAAAACAAAACAAAACAAAAAAACAGCAGTAGCATGAGGGGCACGAGCAGCAACAGCAGCAGCACCACTGGAGACAACACAGCAGATGATGACATGGCAATCCCAACGTCATCATAAGAGGTTTGAGGATGACATTGATAACAACAGCACTAATAAGCGCCACCACCACAATGACGACGGCACGACAACGACATCCATCACCGACGATCACGGTGAAACCACAACAACCACAGCACCAGGAAGAATAACAGCAACATTCTTCCTGCATCAACGACGATCACGATGACAATTTCCTGCACGAGTTCGTCGATCGACAGGATAGACTGCGAAGAGAGCACCATGATGTCAAATTGTTGCACATCCCAAACGTTGTGAGTGTTGTGATGATGTGCTTGAAAAGCCTTGAAACCATGGATGATCAATTGCCATAATATGTGCTATATTTTTGTTTGGCCCAAGCTCAGATGACTCTTTTTTTTTTCTTTTCTTTCCTTTAAAAAAAAAAAAAAAAAAAAGAACCTTGCGGTTCTGCCTCCTTCCATTCTCGGGAGCATCAGTCCGGTTCCTAGTCAACCGGCCGCAAGTCGGAAACTTGGATAACTCTTTAATACAGGAGCTGCTACAACACTTGGAAGAGGTGAGGTTTGTACCCTGGTAGGATTAAGGGGGAAAAAAAAAAAAAGGAAAAAAAAAAAGGAAATATGATTAACAACCTGGATCCTGGGACTTGAAAAAAAAACAAAAACCATCACTGTCCCTGAACCAGTATGGTGAACCAGTTTTTTGCCAAGCGCCGGACCCCATAGATGCCTCCTTGGGGGTAAAAGGGCAGAATTCTCATTTTATAATGCGCAGTTGGTGTTGCGATCATGATCCAACGGTGGAGGACCGGAGCCACCCTTTTTTTGACTTCTTTCTATGGCTGCCCTCGGCTCGCTACTCCGCAACAGCATCTAACGGGCATGAAGCCCCCTTGTATACTGGGCATGATCTGATGAGCGCGCTCTTTGAGGCCCATTGTGGCCTGACGTCAGAGGCTTCCCCGCAGGCTCCATGAGTACCTGCTTGGCTTATGTTTGATAATCAGGTCAACGGTTTTTTTGTTTTTTTTTTCCTTAAAAAATTTGGACAATTTCTCGATTTATGCGTGTCATCCTTGCGCAGGGGCCATTTGCTCGTTTACCCTTCTCTGTATCGTTCCAATTTTAATGGATGTCCCGAAGGACAGGTCAACTACCATTCTAATGTAAGGAGTCAGGACCTTTTTCTATTCTGTTTTTTTTTTTCTTCTTTGTGTGTAGCCATATTCGCTATAAAGTGTATACACACAAAAAAAAAAAACCTTGAAAAAGCAAGACTGTGCGAGACTGTTTTGTCGAAATTCCACCGACTCATCGTCAACTCATTGTGTGTGTGGGGGGGGGCGGAGGGGAGGGGGCGTGGGTGTGCAGGGGCATGCTAATCGTCTCTGTATTGTTTCGATTTTAACGGACGTCTCCAAGGTGCAAGGAAAATGAGGGATGACGAAATGACAGAATTCCAGAATGCAATTTCGCATTGAAAGATAGCAGCAATGCACTAATATTGCACCGAAGGAGAACCAGCGCACCGAATCCGAATGTCGATGAGAGCATAATCTCGCCACCACCAACATATTTATCCAGAGCCGCTCCCCCTACTTGGCGCTCGGCGCCCAGATTACTTATACACAGCTACTAGCAGCCTACGAATTGAGAATGCGTCCCGTTGACGTCAGCAGCAACAACCGAAGTGCATGAAGATGTCGGCCTTGTAGACCATCGCCAAGACCAGGTTCGTGCCCTCACAAATGTGTGGTGTTCCCTGCTTCAATCGCGTTGCTGGAAGGGCCTGGAAGGCTCACGAGTATTTCCGATTCCCTAGAGCAAAGCAGATGCAACTAACTGGCGCGTGGCAACTGTCTGGCATCCACCAAGATTTGCAAAAATTGACGAACTCAGGGTACATCGGTGTTCAGGGGGCCCGCCTTCACTTAGGGCGGGCACGCACCTGCTACAGGGCCCTATGCCGAGGGGAGTAAACCCTCACAAAGGAGTTGAGGACAGACTTTTTCTATCCTTCCTAACACAGAAACCTATTTCACTATTCGAATAGGAATAGGCAATGGGCTTTCCCTGATAGGCAAAGGGTCAATGACTATTCGAATAGGAAATAGGCAAACCTACAAAGGCTGATTCTCTCGTACTACAGACCAAATTGAACACACAAGGTGGACATCATGTGGTTCACGAAGTGCGGATCTCACGTGGAGATGCGAGGCATTCAATGAGATAAATAAATTTCTGCGAGCCATCCAGCGCAATCAACTTCTACATGCTCGCACGGAGGAAGAGAGGACGATTGACCTACCTCAGCTACCTGATGATTCAGCATAGGAGAGGGGAGAAAAACGTTCTCACAGCAATGTCTACCGAAAGGAAGGGAAGGTCGCCAAAGCTTAGGCCTTTGCTAGAGACCTGCTGCCACACTGAGTATCTCGAAGGATGCAAGAAATGAAGTGGAGAGGAAAAATGGCATTGCCGCGAATTTGCTGGGGGGGGGTATCTGGTAACAATGGCGAGTGTTGAAAGCATCCCATAACAATTTTCCTGTCAGAGGTTGTCCTGGGTGGTGAGTGAGTTACTGACCTTGGCAGATCGTAGGGTGAAGATAGGACACACGCAGACAGCCCAAGAACAGGCCCATGCTTTGCGGGAACAGATCCTGGTCCAGTGGCTGGCAATGTAGTGATCGTCGTCGATTGCATCCTGCATGCACATACAGGTCTCATGCAGTCAGTTGTGGACTTCGAAAAAATGCTCTTCCATAATTCCATTGTCAAATACATCCCCCTTTCCAATGCCTCTCGGCCCCCCACAGGCATGCATAACAGATATACCATGAGTTGAAGCTTCAATTCCCCTCCCCCTCTTCTCCTTACCCCGCAATTCGCGATCAGTTCCTGGTTCAATTTCCCTCCCCCTCGTGTCCTCAACACCACTTGTGTGTGTGTGTGTGTGTGTGTGAGAGAGAGAGAGAGAGAGAGAGAGAGAGAGAGAGAGAGAGAGAGAGAGAGAGAGAGAGAGAGAAAAAAAAAAAGAGANGAGAGAGAGAGAGAGAGAGAGAGAGAGAGAGAGAGAGAGAGAGAGAGAGAGAGAGAGAGAGAGAGAGAGAGACCCTAGCACGACAAGATCTTCTTGTACCATGATGTGTTTCTGAAAATATATTTTCCCGAGTTTCAACTCTGTTCACAGGCCTCCAGACACTCGCTAGAGATGCCCATAATGAGGTCCAGAGACGTACAATGTTGCGTAGTGGAGCGAGGCCCATAATGCATCATTGACATAAATGAGGCAGGCCCACACACGATTACGCAGGGGTAACCAAGTGGCATCTCGAACTCCTAACCTGATTTTCTTGGCTCCTTTGGCTGCTGCTTGTGAGGCCGAAGTAGCTTCTATGCAGCGGCTGCGAACAGATGCTGGCCAGTCATCATCAGCACCCTTCAGTAACCCTGCAAGTGTTGATGCTGCTATCTCCCTGACCTGCCACAGCGGTCAATAAATAACCAAAATCAACTTCAAGTTTCAAGTTTCAAATTTCAAGTTTCAAATTTCAAATTTCAAATTTCAAAACATGAAGTTTAGGTTCAAGACACAAACCCTGCCAGTGTTTGAAAAAGGAGGGACATTCATTTTCAAAACAAGTGCAGATGCGGCAGGTTTTGAGCTAGGTTGTTTTTCCTGGTGCCCGGGGGATGAAAGCCTGTCCAGAAATGTGCCCAGGTGCCCAGCCGTGCAGGCCCCCTGTGCAGTGTCCCAGACACCCAGAGCACGAAAAAAAAAAAAAAAAGGAAACAGACCGGTTTCAGTGTTCTGGCGGCTACCGGGGGCCGCTGCCAGGCCTACCGGAAATTTTTTTTCGAGCCTCCCGGAACCTTTTTTTGTAATGAACCCAGACTGGAAAATACTCGTCAGACGTCAAAATGCAAGACAACTCAGATCTGGACAAAGTCTCCAATAATCATGAAAGTGATCTCTGATACAAAGTCTTGTCACCAATTGACGAGGAGAGTGGAGGGGCAATAGACAGTCAAGAGGGTGGAAGAGATAAGCAATGACCACCAAGAGAGCAGCCAAATAGTACCCACTTCTTCTCCAGGCTTTCCCTCGCCTCCACGTCATCAACAGTATCCAATAATAAGTCAACAAGTCCTGGTCACATAGAAGTGCCACGTGGCACTAATCTCTGCAGACAATGAAGACAATCAGCAACACTCAATATCGACGTCGACCTCAGCTAAGTATCCCGTTCGTCAATCATCCACAGATCCCGATCTCCCTCCTTGTTGCGACCAATCACCTCATGCAGACAGCATGGCCAGTGCCACATCAGCAATAGAGACAGGTGGCATGTGCCACATCAGCAATAGAGACAGGTGGCATGCGCCACATCAGCAATAGAGACAGGTGGCATGNGCCACATCAGCAATAGAGACAGGTGGCATGTGCCACATCAGCAATAGAGACAGGTGGCATGCGCCACATCAGCAATAGAGACAGGTGGCATGCGCCACACCAGCAATGTATACAGGTGGCATGTGCCACATCAGCAATGTAGACAGGTGGCATGTGCCACATCAGCAATGTAGACAGGTGGCATGCGCCACATCAGCAGTGTAGACAGGTGGCATGCACCACATCAGCAGAGGCTGGCGCTCAGCAGAGGAGGCGACAGCATGCTTCCACAGTCCCGCGTCGTCGTCCACAGTACCAGCGCACAGCCAGCGCCAAGCCAGCGTCCAACCAGCATCGAGCCAGCGTCATGCCAGCGTCCAGCCAGCGTCAAGGCAGCATAGCAAGACTGAATGTTGACCTCCTGGAGACCTAGTCTCATGTAGTGTTTGATGAAGCAGTCTGGCCTCACGTCTCCCACCCACAGTCACAGCCGAGGGCCTGGATGGTGTAATGTTGCAGACTTCGCCTTGGACCTGATGCTGTCTGCGTACCTGCATACAAACAAGCATGTGCGTCTGACCGGCAGCCTGCGCTGGGTCCACTTTGACTTTGACTTTGTCTGTTGGGCGTCAGGCAGTTGACTTTAGTCAGCTGTCGTCCACTCAGGCCCTGAATCTACGTAGGGGCCATTTTCCCCTTCGGCCTGGGTCTGAGTATGGCCTGGCGAGGCCCTTAGACATTCCACAAGGCATACTGCATGGGTTATTGCATTTTTTTCGAGCCTCCCGAAACTTGACCGTTCGATCTTTGGATTGACGGCCCAGATTCGGGCACCTTCTGGATGAACCACCTGCACGATTTTGCATGTGCCTCATTTTTCGAATGCCCTCTGGAAACCGAGCGGGCGCTTCTCACTTTGACGAGCTCGCTCCCCCCCTCCCCGGCTTCCTCAGATGCTACCCGTCAGGTCTCCCGCCATTGCACGCTAAGCCCTCGGGTCTTCTTCTTCTTCTTCTTCTTCTTCTTCTGTGTGTGAGTGTGTGTGTGTGTGTGTGTGTGTGTGTGTGTGTGTGTGTGTGTGTGTGTGTGTGTGTGTGTGTGTG